CTAAGAGAAGGGAAGGAGCCTAAGTTAGAAGCAATCTATAGACTTAATTAGAAGGAAATAGAAGCGCTTAACGCTTACCTTAAAGAAAACCTATAGAAGGGATATATTAGACCCTCTACGTTACTAGTAGGATATCTAATCCTATTTATACCTAAGAAAAATAGTAAACTATAACTCTATGTTAATTACTAAAAACTTAATAATATCATAATTAAGAACTACTACCCACTACTACTTATCTTAGAGCTCTAAGATCTACTATATAGAGCCTAGTAGTTTATAGCACTTAACTTAAAAGGAGCCTATAACCTGATATATATAAAATTAGGTGAAGAATAGAAAATAGCGTTTTAAATGCGCTATAGACATTATAAGTACTTAGTAATGCCCTTTAGACTTACTAACGTACCTATAATATTCTAGATAATAATTAACTATATCTTATAAGAATACCTAGATATATTTATTATAGTTTATTTTAATAATATCTTAATCTTCTTAAAGAACCTAGAAGACTATAAGAAGTATATATATTAAGTGCTATAGAAACTCTAAGAAGCTAAACTCCTAGTAGAACTAGAAAAGAGCAAATTCTATACCTAAAAAGTTAAATTCCTAGGCTTTATAATAGCCCCTAGAATCCTTAAGATATTAAAAGATAAAATTATAGTAGTATAAGACTAGCTAACACTATAGAACGTTAAGGATATATAATCCTTTATTAGATATATAAACTACTACTAGTAATTTCTAAAAGGATACTTAGATAAGAACGACCCTCTTATAAGACTCTCTAAGAAAGAAGTCCCCTAGTAATAGGAGGATAAATAAGAATAAGCCTTTAATAAGATTAAGTAATAGGTTATATTAGAACCTATACTTATTATACCTAATCCTAAAAAGCTATTTAAAGTTAAGACTAACTCCTCAGACTATACTATAGGAGGATAGCTAGGCTAATAAGATAATAAAGGATAGCTATACCTATACGCCTTCTTCTCATATAAGCTATATAGCCTAGAACTTAACTACTAAATTTATAATAAAGAACTTATAGTAATTATTAAAGCATTTAAGGAATAGAGACCTTAACTATTAGGAATAAAGTATAAAGTTAAAGTCTATACTAATTATAAGAACCTTACCTACTTTATAATATTAATAAATAATAAATTAAATAGTCTAAATTCCTCTTAGAATTTAATTTTAAGATTATATACTGGAAAGGTAAGGAAAACGGAAGAGTAGACGCTCTCAATAGAAGACTAGACCATAAAGTCTAAGTACCTAAGGAAACCTAAGTTATCCTTAAAAAAGATAAGGAAGGAGACCTTATGCTAGCAGCTAGACTCTTAATGATAGCCAGGAGAGATAATACTAGCATAACTAGAAGGATATCTCCTAAAGCTATTAGGGAGATATACTCTACTCCTATATATAGCTACTAAGGCGTAACTAAGATATAGAAACGCATTAGATAACACTATAATAAAATAGCTATATAATAAGAAGTATCTTTAGCAATTAGGGACTATAAGGTCTATATAAAAAGTAAACCTAGCTAATATTAGCCTTATAGTAAGATATAGCCGCTCCTAGTGCTGCAAACCGCATAGGAATCTATCTCATTAGACTTTATCACTAAGTTACCTAAGTCCCAAAAACTAATAACTAAAGTCTATTATAATAGTATCCTCATTATTATTAATAGACTTATAAAGTATTTATACTTTATCCTATATATAGAGTCTAGCACTATAGAAGACCTCACCTATAAGTTTCTATAGGTAATTATTAGCTAATATGGAATGCTAAAGGAAATTATATCTAATAGAGATAAGTTATTTACTTCTAAGTTTTAGAGATCACTAATCTCACAGCTAGGATCTAATCATAAGATATCTACTACTTTTTATCTATAAACTAATAGCTAGATAGAACAAATCAATTAGATTATAGAAACCTATCTATACTGCTATATTAACTACTAATAAGATAACTAAGTATAATTGCTACCTATGGCCTAGTTTGCCTACAATAGCGCAGTAGGAGAAAGTATAAAAGAATCACCATTCTATCTAAACTATGGATTTAATCCAATAGCCTATAGAGAACCACAACAGGGCCCAGCAGCTCTAAAAGCTATAGTAGATATTAATAAACTTAAGGAAATCCAGTAAGGGCTACCTAAAGAACTTAAATTTATATATAAATAAATATATAAATACGCTAATACCTTAAGAGTTAAGGGACTAACTCTATAGGAGGGGGATAGTATATACCTTCTCTATAGAAACATTAAGATAAAATAACTAAGTAATAAGTTAGACTTTAAGAAACTTAGACCTTTTAAAATTATATAGAAGGTATCTAACGTTAACTTTAAACTTATACTATTAGATACTATAAAGTATTATCTAGTCTTTTATATTTCACTTCTCAAAAAAGCACTATAAGGTTTATATATAGAAGACTACATTATTATAGAACCTCTAGAACTAGAATATAAAGTTAAATAAATTATTAACTACTATAGTAATAATGGAAATATAGAATATCTCATTAAGTAGAAAGGATATAGACATAAAGAAAACTCATAGGAACCCGTTAAGAACCTCTAGCACTCCTAGCAGCTGCTGCGGGAGTACTCCCAAGCAGGGGGCCTAGGTCCACAAACTCCTCACTAATTCCAAAGTCCAGCTAGGAAGGGTTATTTATAATACCTATAAACTAGAGGTCCCCCATAATACCCCACTCATAAGTATCTAACATAGGAAGGATATTATCCTCCTTATTAACCTCCTATATCCCCTAATAAAACGTTTTAGACTAATAATTATAAACCTACTTCTAAATAGTATAGATCCTTAAGAGATAGCTTACTACTGCTACTATTTTAGCCTAAAGGTAAGTTAACTAAATATAAAGAGCTATAAACTCTTTACCTACCTTCTCCTCCTTTTTATCCCACTCCTTCTATTAAGCATTTAATCTTTATACTAGAAAAACATTAGAAAAGAAGAAAAATATAAAAGTCTTAGTACCTATATATAGAAGCTACTAAAATACTATTATATAGCTTCTTTACCTTAATATATTTATAGTAATAAGATAACCCCTCACTAAATTGATATATAACCTTTATATAGAAATAATAAGTATAAGGCATATCTATATATAAGGAATAAGAATCTATAAACTTAAGAAGCGCTTAACGCTTATAATCTTTTATTTCTATCTTTTAAGACTTTAACTTTTAAATATAACCTAATATAGTATTAGCATTATAGAAAATAAGGAAGTAGAATTAATAACTCCCTAACCTAGGAGTAACTACCTACTTATATAAGGTCTAAGAGACTAGACCTTTAGAGGGGAGACCTAATATTATAACCTATTAGGTATAACTAATAAAGAACGCCCTATAAGGATACTAGGCGGTTAGAATATTACCTTTATATATAGGATCATAGGAATATAAGGGGCTTACCCGGAATAGAAGAACTATAGTATAAGTTACGTAATAATAAGTAGGACTAACTTTTAATAAGCGGTCCTAGGACTAGGATAAGGATTAGGACTAACGTACTAAGGGCGGTCCTTAAGGAGGACTAACTCTTAGATTGCAGTCTATATAGGAAGAGAAGTATCTAGGACTTATATATAGGATAGACTTAAGTCCAGCTTAAGGATAGACTTCTATAGCTCTTTAGTAATTAACTTTATAACTACCCTTATTAGTACTTTTAGCTATACCTAAGTAATAACTACTCTATAACTCTTATTAAGGCCTTAACTAATCACTAAGACCTTTAAAGACCTATAATTACTTAAATAGCCCTATAGAACGACTTAATACTATTTATAGTTTTTAATCCCTAACTTACTGCTAATATAAACCCACTGTCAGTTAGCTGGCCGTAACAGGGAGGTTTTAGAGGGGCTAGACTTATCCCTCTAAGTGCGGAAAGTATACTTTTAAAGCTTAATGTGAAGCTATACACGCTAATACCTCTAGGATCCCTCCCAATAATACCCCCTCCTTAGACTTCTCAGACGCTAAACAACCTAATAGAGGCAACTTCTCAATCCAAACTCATTAAGAATTAAATCTCCTATCATCAAAATAGCTCACTAACTTCAATTATTAAGGCTATTAAGCATTTATTAAAGGGGGCATATAGATTTATATACTAGATTGCCTTATTGAGGTCTAAGAATAAAATCCTTTAGGAAGAGAACAACCTATTTAGCTAATACTAGAGGGCTAAAAAAGCCCAGCTTAGATAAGGAGGGAGTCTTACTATAGGTGAGGCTGAGGACCTTCAATCACAAAGGGAGGCTATAGCCCAGATTAAAGAGGAAACGCGCTAGAGTAGTAGTCGCCAGCCGAGGATGGAGACGGGCCAATAGCGGTATAGCGTCTATAGGAACACCGGTCATAATGCATAAATATATCAATTTGCTAAAGAAATATCTAAAGAAGAGGACCTTAACTAGTTTGAGTTTAATTGATTTCCTAGGTGTTATATATTAGTTGGAAATATGCTGTGGTTGCGGTTGGGTGATCGCCTCGCTTGTCTGATCGCCTCGCTTATCAACCACGTTATACTATAAAGCTTATTAGGATAGAGTTTTCTTCTTTTAGAATATTAAATATTAAATATATACTTATTAGGTATAGTGAGATATCTATAACTAGATTATAAGGGTAGCTATATTATATTGCGCAGCGTATTGCATTTGTTTATTAGGAGGGTGTAAAGCAATAACTGGGTCTCCAAAAGCATTGAGCTAATTAAATTACCTCACGATAAGTCAACTCAGGCAACAGCCGCTGACTAAGAGGCACACCTCGTTTTCAACATCACACCATTCAGTTATTGCTAGGTCTATGTCTCTTTTCTGACAGACTCACATCATTGTGTCCTAAACTTTAAGGCCCAGGGCAATGGCGAATACTCCACCATGGCCCGCGTCTGACGACGAGATCATCCCACAGGCCCTCTACGTCAAGGCCCAAGACCATCAAAACGAACTCACGGATGGTGAACGCCTACTCCTCCTCACCCGTGGAGATGTCGTGGGCAAAGCGCTTGCCCATCCTGACAGCCTTACCCCGGAAGAAATTCACCAAGCTCTCCTATGGCCTCCACCGGACGTGGTTCGGGTCAACATTCAACGCGCGACTGGCGGGAAGCTCAGCACCCCCAGTGAGCTCTACGCCAAGGGTAAAGATGCGATGGCTCAAGGCGAGTTTAGGAAGTTGTTGAATGAACATGAGATTTCACTTTTGGGGCGCTACTTTCACGCCATGGACGACACAACCTTTTGCGACGTAACCATGTCGGAGAAACTCAGCGAACCGGGCGTTGCGCAGGCAGTAGAGCTTATATCGAGTCGCCTGGGGCTGGAGTTCGCCATCTTCCATGCTGCGTTGCTCTACCGAGCGGACCAGATGTACCGCCCAATGAGAGACACGGTGGCGCAACTTGGTCTCAGTTCAGTGCAAGCACAAGGACGTGGTCAGAAACAAATCCCCGCCGACATCGTCACGGCCATGGCGTCTCTGGAAGAACAATTGCAGCCCGGTAAACTGAGCGTCGAAGAGGTTGCAGCTCGCAATGAAGAATACGTTGCCGCTCTGCGAGCCACCGCCCCGGCTTCGTTATTTCTTCCTTCCTACGTCCTTCCAACATCGCCGCCGATCACAACTCCTCCATCGCAGGCTGACCTGTTCGGGGCCGGTCCCTGGCCGCCCACCGTTACACCCAGCGCCCCAATCAATATGTTCGCCAACGCCACAGATCTTTCAGGTTACAGCATCCAACCTGGATGGTCTGCTCTTCCCAATGATCAGAAGGAAGTCTACCGCACCCGATCCGAAAAGCGACGTCAGGAAGCTTGGGCAGTATACAAAAATGCTCAGGTCGTCGAGCCCACGTCATCTACTTCTGTGCCGAGCAGAGACAGCAGCGGCCACCAGCGGAAGACGTAACAGGCCATGGTAACGTCGAGAGGTTGCCTAGGCCGCCAGCAACGCTGGCTATCATAGCAGGGCTCAGATTGTTTTGAGATAAATTCGGTATGGACTTCTCTGAAATGCTCAACAGATGGTATGCACTCGTCGAGGGACAGAGGCATAAATAAAGACAAGATCCACGACAGCCAATGCAGCCCCCTGGTCTGCATATCACAATTAATGCTAGATTTGCATATAAAGGAGGCTGTGGCCACATTAAGTCTGCGAGGCAATTCGATGTCAATGAGAGAAACTTAGATCGGACGTTCATAATTGGCGTGTAAAAACGGATTCATTGCGCATCATTATCAGTTCCTTGATTATTAGCTTTATTCACTTCAGTGGTCCGTAGGGTTAATTGGATCTCCAATACTTGTTCGCGTGCCTAATTACTTCTGATATAATCGTTCTCATAACCGTCGTTTTATTACTAGGTCTACGTTGCGCCTTGTCTTGCTGTGGCGTGGAGGTGTTGATTTTCCCGGGGACGTGTGTGATGCAGTCCGCCTCCAATAGAATGGGAGATGGACTGCACCATTCTGGAAGCCTTTTTGAACGGGCCTGTAGCTCGTGATATTACTCTACCTGTTATTGGCATGGGTTTTGACGCTCCTGGTAACACCAAGTAGTCCATGATGTACAATGAATGCACAGTTCTGTTATATGATACAAGTTCTTTTTCCATTCTGTGACACGCGATGACCACATGCACAACCTTTGTACACGCTACGCGTCAGGGCAAACATGAAACCAGATTAGCTAGAAATCATATGAGGCTTTCAATAGGAATGTGAAGGGGATGATGCTGTTCTAAATTCCGTGCCAAAGATTGCCCAATTTTGCAAAGTCATGTATTCGATAAGGTCCCATGGTTGGACTGAACGCGTTTGATGAGTAGCAATCTTATACACCGTTCATTGGAATGTCGCATCATTCCTAGAGATGTTGCCCCTGATGTCTCACTATTTGGTATGGTGGACTTTTGTTCCGCCCACTGGCTTTCCACGGGGATCTTAAGACAGAAGAACTCGTTGTTATTCATACCATAGACATCACCCAATGCTTTATCACTCCCGATAGGCTCATTGCGGCCCGCAGGCGATATCCGCTGACGCGTTGACTCCAACTCGAAAATGGAAATCATCTTACCGTGGGATCATGTCACCTTTGCCATACTACAATAACGAAGCCAGGATTTGTTCTCGGGCTTTTCCAAGATCTAGGTGGGAAGATAACCCATTTGTTTTCTCTTTATGTCTCTAGCTTAAGAAAGTGGAAGATCGATGCTACCCTTCTCACCCACAGGCAAAAAAGCAGGATTCCACGAATCCCTCCAATTCAATCGAAATGACGCCTTCTTGGATTTTGAAAAAAGCTGCACTGGTCTATCTAGTAGCCCTCGTAGACAGCGTGCAAAGCCAGTATCAATACATCGCCTGCGGTGCTCTTGAAAACTTCAGCAGCACGTTCTATTAAGCCTCTGCTACATCAGGAGACACAGTTCAGTGCGAGAATGCGTGTCGCTATATATACGGGAGTTCCTTTACTGCCCTCGGCGTTAATGGCTGTTTTTGCAGTATATACCCCCGTGGCATAAAGCCTTCCTTCTCAGCGAATCCTCCGCCCAACGATTCCCTTTATACGAACAATTGCATAAGTCCTCTAGGGGCAAAGTGCGGGGGCACATATAATGGCATTTAAGTATATAACCTCTACGGTATAGAATCCATTTCTATACCACATTCAACCACATCGACAAGCTCATCAACTTTAAGTCAGAGCATATTAAGCACTCTCATAACTACCTTAATAACCGTTATTATAAATAGCACATCTAGTGCATTAAGTACTACTGCCTCTATAACTGTCACTACGACTAGTACCTCTAGTACCTTAAGCATTCTTACTATTGCAGTACGTACTTATTACGGCCAGCTAACTAATAGTGGGTTTATGTTAGCAGTAAGTTAGGGATTGGGAACTATAAATAGTAAATAGTCGTTCTATAGGCCTAGTCGAGTAATTATAGGTCTTTAAAGGGCTTAGTGATCAGTTAAGGCCTCAATAAGAGTTATAGAGTAATCATCACTTAGGTATAGCTAAAAGTACTAGTAAGGGTAATTATAAAGTTAATTGCTAAAGAGCTATAGAAGTCTGTCCTTAAGCGGACTTAAGTCCATCCTATATACAAGTCCTGAGTAGCCCTATTGCTGGGTGCCGTATCTGCCCCGTACGGCTCCCGTATCCTTGGCATACGGCTTCCGTCTTTCTGGGATACGGATGCCGTATCCTGAACATATGGATCTAATCTCTTATCTTATCGTCACGTGACTTGTACCATAGTTCTTCCGTCCCGGAGGGAACCCCGCGTGTTCCCGTGATCCTGCATACAAAGGTGCTGTCATAACCGCCCAGTATCCTAGTGGGGCGTTCTTTGTTGGTTATGCCTAACGGGTCGTAACAGTACTATAGTGGCTGGAGACCTAATAGGGGGGGGAGTAGTATAGCTACTACCTAGATATATATAGAGGGCGTTATACCTACCTCTTATAGCCCTAAGGGAGTTAAGTAATATACTTATAAGTTTATATATACCTATTATTAATAGGTTATAAGCCTAGAGGGCTAATATATACCTAATAAGCTAAGTTACTATATTCTATAACGCTAGAAACCCCTAATAAAAGCCCTTATTTTACTTAGAAATTATTTTTCTAGAAGATCCCTAAACTTTTTAGCTCTTTTAGTTATATAATATACTAAATAAGTAGCTAATAGCTAAAAACTCTACTATATTACTTCTATAGTATACTACTACTAGAAAATACTATAGAATTTAATTATAAAGTATATTATAGGACTTACTATAGATATAGAACTAATTTTACCTACTTAAGTAAGTTTTATAATAGCGCCTAGTTTATTAGTTAAATAAGGTATACCTATAATTAGCTAATATAATCTCTAACTTTAGCCTATTATAAAACTACTAATCTTTTACTTCCTTAATAAATATTAGTTTCCTTACCTTATTCATAAATTTACTATAGTATAAGCTAATATAACGTTCTTTATAAACTATTATAGCTTAAACTATAGCTCTAAGCTATATACTAAAGAGTCTAATATCTTACTAACTACTAGATTTATAGACTTTAAAGACCTATTATTTAAACCTAATAAACTTAATCTCTTTAGCCTTATAGCGCGCTCTCCTCTATATTTAGAATTCTCTTATAATATTATATTACTTATAGATATATTAATATATACTAAAAAACCCTTAGATACTATTAGTATACTATCTTAAGATAATAAAGCGCTATAAATTAACTCTTTAGGTCTCCCTACCTCACTATAACGTTATAAATATAAGTTTAAGCGGTATTATAATCTATTTAAGCTTTATATTTATACTCCTATAGTATATATAAATCCTAACGCTTAATTCTACCCTTACTTTCTACTAAATAACCTAAATAGACTACTTAATCTAAAGCCTATTACTTATAGACTCTTACTACTTAAAAGCTATAATAAATCTCTCTCTTATATCTATACTTATAAGTATAACGTCTAATAGCGTTATTATTAATCTATATAAGAAACTCTCTAGCTATATCTATTAGCACTATAAAATAGAGACTAAGGATAGTTCTAATACTATAGGCTTAATATTAATTATTAGGCTTAAATCCTTAGCTAGCTAGACTTAATAGAAGTAGGATATAATAGACTTCCTATTTATATAGGGTTACTTAGGCCTCTTTAGCTATTAAAAGGATATACCTACTCTAGCTACTATAGGGATATAATAAGTCTCTACTAAGCTACTAAATAACTAATATAATATATATAATAAGGCTATAGGTATTATTTAGTCTTATCTAGGTAATATACCTTATTAGCTATTTATATTTAAAGAGGAAGCTATTATAAAAAATAATACTAATAATATTAAGCTAGCTAAATACCTTAGCGCCCTAGTTACTATTATTATCCTTAAGAAATACTACCTCCCTACTAGCTTTACTATATTTAAGAAGCTTATTACTTAGTATAATTTACTTATATTAGCTACCTATAGCTTTATTACTAAGTTCTTAGTAAAGCTCTATTAAGTATGCTATAAACTTATAGCTCTATATAAGGAAATTAAGATCTATAAGCCCCTATTTATCTATAAGTTCCTTATTAGTCTTAGGCCTAAGTATAATATATTTTTTATATTATTTAATTAGGTATATAATCCTTTACCTTTTAAGATAGCTAATAGTAATAATAAACCTATTATTACTTTTAATAAAGTAGTTATTATAGCTAAAAAGGAGGAGTATATACTAGCTTAGCGTACTAAATAAGGAACTAAATATATTACTCTAGTTACTATAAACTATAATAATAAGCCTTACTATAGCTACTATAGTAAGAATAATTATACTAAGGATATCTATATTATTAAGTATCCTTATCTATACCCTATATAGGAGTAGAAGCGTAAAGACTAGAACGCCTACTAAGCCTAATAGAAGGCTTATAAAGCCTAATAGAATAGCTCTAACGCTATTAAGGCTACTTTAAACGTCTTAGTATAGTCTTTTATATACTATTAAGTACCTATACCGCTTTAGGCTTTAAACCTAGCTTTCTCTACCTTCTATATCTATAGGGCTACTACTAAGGCTTAATATCTCTCTACTCTTACCTTATTTAATATATAGTTTATAGTATATAATCTCTCTACTATAGATAGTTAGACCTATATAGACCTACTCTAATATATCTATATACTAGATACTAACTATACTTAATATAGTATATACTAGCTATAGGGTTTTATAGATATTATTCCCTTTATTAGTTAATAACTTATAGAGTTAGTAATACTATTACCCTTTAGAAGGTTAATACCTATTAGCTTAAACTATTAAATACTATAGCGCTAACTATAATACTTCAAGATATATTATACTACC